CTTAATGTATTGCTTTGAAGATTTGTACAATTAACATTAACAAAAAAAATAGGCAACATGAGAACCACCTCCCTTCTGTATAACTACAAGCATTTCATTTGTACATCAAAATCCAAAAGAATAATCTCCTCATTAGCTTAAAAGGACTAGTTTACGTCCCTGAATTGCTTTAACATTTACTAACCTCAGCTCCTGTGTGGTCACCACTGTCCTTTCTATTTAATTTAATTACCAAGATGCACAGGTAGTGTACAACTTAATGATAATCTTGTCCTCAGCTAACTTTCACCACCACTTTCTGCCGCGCTCACATTCGATCTTCCTTTGAAGAATGAGGAGAGGGAGATCAGCGGCGTAGCGACAGGATGCTTCAAATACGTTACTAGCAACTGGTTTTAACCAAGCCGAGTTCTGTACTTCCACAGTTTTAGACTTTTTTAGACACCGCGGAAACCATGCCAACAAATAAAATAGCTGGTTCATTGGTTGACTTTGTTACTACTTACAAATCCTTGAGACGTCATGTGAAACATGAGTGGAGAAACTGGGCGAAGCATATTGAGGAGTCCAGATGAAGTAACAGCTGACCAGGAAACATCTTATCTTCTTGGGATTCCACGGAGTTCCCTGCGTCGGTGACGAAACTATGGGAACACCTCTGTGCGTGGCAGCGTTCGGGAGCCCGCTCTTCGGCTTTTCCCGCTCGATGTGTGAGCCAGGAGAGGCTGCAGCTGTCCTGCTCTGAGGAGCTGGATGTGCTCAGCATTATGGAGGAGGAAAACGTCATCAGTCAGCGCCAAGCTATGACAAGCTCTTGGAGGTGATGACATGGGCAGTGGGCAAGCTCCAGCTTGATTGGCCGCAGGCTGTGCCAGACACACAGGCTGCCAGTAAGCTGGATGAGCGGCGCCGCACGCCGCCTCCACGCCGGTCTCTGCCCTTTTTCCCGGATTTGCACGAGGAGTTGTGCAAATCCTGGGGCAAGCCCTTCTCAGCAGTTTCGGTTATGCGATGCTGCCCCGGGTTGAGGATGCTGTGGCCAGCTATCTCTCGCCCGGTCTTGCGTCGTCCCTTAAAGAGCCGGCGCTGCCTACCAAGCCATGTTGCGTGACATCTTCATCTGGTGGGCAAGGCGTACAGGTTCCGGATGCTCACCATCCCCGCCATCATCAGTCACATCCAAACCGAGGATTGGTTTGTCACGATAGATCTGTGAGGCGCATATTTCCGGCGTACCAGTATCTGGTTCTTCTCTTCGGCCTAGCACTCTCTTTCCTCGCATGTTCACCAAATGCATGGATGCAGCCCTGCCCCGATGAGGCTCCAAGGCGTCCGCATACTGAACTACATCGACGACTGGCTCATTTTGGCTCAGTTTCAGGAGTTAGCGGTTCGGCATCGAGATGTCGTCCTCGCCCACCATCAGCATTTGGGGCTGCGGCTCAACGCGAAGAAGAGCTTGCTGACGCCCGCCCAATGGACTACATTCCTAGGGGTGGTGTGGGACGACGATTTGGGCCCACCTGTCGCCTGCACGCAACGGGTCCATTTTGTCCTTGGTGACCAGAGTGAAGCTAGGCCGCACCATCACTGTGAAACACTTTCAGACGGTGTTGGGTCTCATGGCGGCAGCGTCCAGCGTAATCCCGTCTGGCCTGCTGCACATGAGAGCCCTGCAGTGGTGGTTAAAATCCAAAGGATTCTCTCTGAGGGGAAATCCGTTCCGTCTGATACGGGTTATGAGCAGGTGCCTACGTTCCCTGTCAGTATGGAGGAAGCCCTGGTTCCTGTCCCAGGGTCCTGTGTTGGGAGCGTCATGTGGCCGGACAATTATTTCGACAGACGCCTCACTCGCAGGGTGTGGCGCGGTCATGGACGGCCGCTTTGCGAGAGGCTCCTGGCAGGAGCATCATTTCTCTTGGCACATAAATTGTCTGGAAATGTTGCCGGTTTTCAGAGCTCTGAGGAGTTTTCTGCCCGCTCTCTGCGGTCGCCACGTCCTTGTCAGGACCGAGAACACGGCGGTGCTGGCCTATTTGAATCACCGGGGGGGTCTGCGCTCGCGCCCGTTATGCAAGTTGGCCCATCAGATCCTCATGTGGACCCAAAAGAGACTGCTGTCCCTCAGAGCGATGTATGTCCCTGGGAACCAGAATCAGGGTGCAGTCCTGCTGTTGAGACAGGGGCTGAGGCCCGGGGAATGGAGACTCCACCCCCAGGTGGTGGAGTTATTATGCAAAAGGTTCGGCCCCATAAACGTGGAATTGTTTGCGTCTCGAGAGACTACACACTGTCCCCTGTGGTTCTCCCTCTCGTCTCCAAATCGTTCCAGCAGGTCCCCCTCTCAGGTGGAGGGCCAGGTCTTTCACCCTTGCCCCGCCCTGTGGAGACTGTGGGTCTGGCCCCTGAGTGGACCCAGTTCCTTGAGACGGGCCTGACAGTCTAGACGCTGCTCAGCTCCAGAGCCCCATCCACAAGAAGGACGTACGGCCTGAAGTGGAACGTGTTGGCCACCTGGTGTAGAGAACGGGCATTGGACCCAGTTACCTGCCCGGTGACTATGGTACTGGAGTTCCTCCAGGACCGTTTCTCTGCTGTCCTTTCCCATCCACACTCAAAGTGTATGTGGCTGCCATGGCAGCGTTCCATGCCCCTCTGAGGGATGGGCCTCTGGGGAGGCTTCCACTGGTAGTGTGCTTCCTCCGTGGAGCCCGAAGGATGAGACCCGTGACTCGTTCCAGGGTTCACACTTGGGACCTGGCAGTGGTTCTCGAAGCGCTGGCTGAGGCCGGGCTATGTCCCTAATGTTCCGTCCAGGTTGGCAGGGTCTACGGTGCTGCAGGCATTTCATCGCCCATCTCATGTGACGGCGGAGGACGGGAGACTTCATCTGCTCTGCTCAGTCAGAGCACTGAGTATTTTCACTCTGAGGTCCTCCCGGTGGAGGAAAGCAGACCAGTTGCTGGTGTGTTTTGGGTCCCCCAAGGCTGGGCTACTGTTGAATAAGGCCTAAATCCTAGATTGATTGGTGTTGAATAATGCCTAATTCCTGTTGAATAATGGCTAATTCCTAGATTGATTGTTAGGTTCTTTTTCTATATTTATACACCTTATTAATGGTTTGCAATATGTTATAACTACTGAGTGTTTCACTACTGAGTGTTTACTACTGAGTGTATAACTACTGAGTGTTTAAGGAGTGAGTTTAAACTCATATTTTATTCTTATATTCTGTGTGTTTATCATACATTATTCCTATACTCTGTGTATTCATGAACGTGTGCTTTTTAATGAGCCTACATGAGCAGAGAAGCTGCTCAGGCCGCGCTGGCAAAACCTAGCCAACCGTAACCCACTCATTAGAAGCAAGGCACATGCAGTAAGTCACGTACGCCAGGGCTGAGATCATCGCGAACAATCTTAGGCAGGATGGGCAGGTACAAACGATTTCCACATACTCGGGATGCATTGAAAGAATACTGAGGCCTATTGTTGACCCTTTTCTCTCTACTCGCCTGCCAATTTAAAGGTCTTTGCGTTTGTGAGTTCTGCGTGCGCGTGTGCCTGACAACTAACTGTACATGCGTGCATATTAATCTTTGTGAGGTTCATCAATGGTGATAAATGATCCGAACGTCCCGCGAGGTGCGAACAACTCGGGGTTCCGTCTCTTCAGCAGGTGTTCCTCTGCCACTACACACTCACACACATACACACTACGCCCATACATGCACACTAACACCCCCTACCTTAAGGGTTAGGGTTGCAATTTAGTGGGGGGGTGTTTATTGTCCCTGGTGTTGCAGGTGATATCCTGCTTACTATTAATCTGATCTGTAATAGCAGCCTACACAGACGTAGATTTACACAGACATGGTACTGTTCTGTAGTCATTCTGAGGTGCCTGGGTGTGTTTACGCTCTGTGTTCCTGTTCATTGGTGGATCAAGCTGCTGCCTTAGCCTTTGTATTCACTGACTGGATATGTGTATGTCAACACACGACCCTTACCACTGACCACAGGCTTTAACATGTAACAAGTGACAAGTAACAAAGAATTATGAAAGAAGATGAGATAAAGGAGGAAATTAAAAGCATACAAGCAAACAGCCTTGTTTTGATGAAGAGTCACGTTCAGTCAGATGGTATTTAGTCTGATCAAAACAAAATAGGTAACTCTCCTAATGTTCATTTCAAATTAATATGCAGTTGCAAGGTAAACTTTGCTATTCGAGCACACTAGTATATTATCACATTTAATTTCTATCATAAAGCCACCCTAACAGTTTAGAGTTTTTTGTGAATGTTTGTTGTGGGATTTGAAAATAAGGGAAATAATAAGGGACACCCCCCAAATGTTCTTATGAATTCTATAAAATTTAACATTGAATAAAAGTATTATGTTAATTTCATAGTATGGGCTATAAAGTATTGTGTTAATAATATATTACTTATAGTTAGGCCTACTATATTCATAATTTCATATGTACTTTACCACTTGGCATAATATTCCAGTTTTTCTGGGTTGTTTTTATTCATTAAATCCTTGTGCAGGATAAACAGTGTTCTCTGGTCTCTAATTTATTATTATTTATAAGTACTAACTTGTCAATAATCAGAATCATTCATGCAGAAGAATTGCATTGTTGTTGCAGTCTTTACTCTTGCATTGTCAGTCATTTTTCCGGTTTGTTTCTGTTTGTTTTTTAAATATTGACAGTATGGGAAATTTACAAGAAAATATTTCAACAGGATAACAGCAGGATAGAACAGTAAATTTTGGGAGAATCCCGGTAAAAACAGCAGGGATGACGGGTGTGATAAAATATCAGAAAAGACTACAAAATTTCCAACCCAGTTTGCCGGAGCCGTCTTGAAATGTTTTATTTTGTTTGACCATTTGGTGCTAAATCTAAATCTAATCTTGGCCCAAAGGACATAAATATTGAGCTTAGGCATGGAAAGTTTCTATAAACAGGTGAGACTGATTGCTGAACAGGATATGCATATGTATTTATTGATTAAAGTGAAATGAAATCAGATTTATCAATAAGTATTCCAGCAGTGATGTCATCGAGGCTTGACATCCTGGTGGAAATTACATCATCAGTGGGGAAGTGACACCCTCATGGCAGATGTGTCGGCATGTCAGCACATGGCAGGAATTGTTATTGGTTCCTGGCGCAAACGAAAGATCTCCTCTGATTACACTTTTCATCGTTGACATAATCTTGTCCTGTAGACAGGTGAAAAAGAAACATTAAAATCACTTTAGAGAAGTGCTTGCTTTTTTCTTAATGCATGTCATGTAAAAATAATAAAATGAACAGTGAAAGTTGTCAGACCACAGACAATCCGGTTTTGTGACACCTGCCAGTCTCTGTTTCCATTTTCAAGTTGCTTCAATGAAAATCACAATCAAGGACACAATCGAGTAAATGAACTATTTAATTTGTACCTCTAAAGTTCATCTCCATACAACCTTCCCCTCCACCACTGTTGTTGGGCTCTCCTTTACCCCAGTTATTGAAGACAAACTTTGAACCATCACTCCAGAGCCACACACCATTCTGAAAGAAGAAGTTTTAAGGGTTAATTTACCATTTTTCTAGCTATGCAGATAGTGCAAACATCAGCAGTACCAGTAGTCTTCCCGCTAGGTTGAAGGTAATGCAAATGAGAAAACCTTTTATAAAAACTGTATTTTTACTTTTTACTCAAGTAGCTTTAGACGGTGTGCATTTGCCAGATATTACTGACTTACTTACTCCTTGCCAAGTCTGTCAAACTCTATTGAAGGGATGAACACCATCAAAGCTGCAGACTAACTATGTGTTTTATGACTTTGAAACGCAAACGCATGACAACAAAATGAGGCCATATTTTTATGCGCTATTGATTTTGAGATCGAGAGAAGGTGTGCCTCACGGGTAGACTGCATTGACCTCTTTGTAAAACAGCCAAAACAGCCAAAATATAAAAACTACACATTCATCGCCCACAATGTGTCAGGGTTTGACAATTACATAATGCTTAATTATTTCACTAAGCAGGGAATAACTCCCTGCTGTTTCCTGTTGTCCCCAACCCCCATCCCCGTTGTCTTGCAGGTGTTGTTCTTTCTCTGTGGTGTCCGTTTGTGTGGTGTTTGTGCCCCCATTTGTGTCCCCCCTGTCCGGCCCGGTGTGTTTTCTCTGTGTAGTTAATTCTTCTGCTCTATAAGGTATCTCTTGCAAACGAGATCTCAGTGAGATTACCTGATACAATTAAGCTCATAAAAATAGGTAGACATTGGTATCAGGTCAACCATATCACACCTGCAAACCTATCATGACAGGAAAATCTCTTTTTAATGCATCTACCAAATATAAATATGAAAAAATATTCAATTGCAGGCAACAAGAAACAACAAAAAACACTTACCTTCACTTCATCATAGCCTCCAACCCAACTTGCTTTTTGTGAGTTAGTCGCTCTTAAAATCAGATCTCTGATGAAGGCGTAATCGTCAGGAGTTTGAAGAGAGGCCAGATTTCCACCAAGAGAAGTGCAGAAGTACTGATGAGGAAGACAAGATGCAAACAGAGACAAAGACTGTTTGAATTCTCAGCTTCACTACATGGACATAATATTTAACAACACAATGATGAATCCTGTATATTTCAATTGGGATATAAAAAAATATTTCTAATGCATTCCAAACTAGAGCTGATCTATAGGCAGAAAACTTATTTTGAAATATATTGTGATACGAGTCACAATTTTAGTGGGAATGGTGATTATGCATTTAATTTTCACTGAAAAAAGTAAAATTTATCCTGTGGTCTATGTTCAAGCAAGCATGTTCCTTCATGTCCGGAGAATATGATTTATAGGCCGGGATGTCTCTGTAGCACCACAATACTTCATTGTAATTCTGTGACACATTTCATCTTTTTTTTTCAATTGCAGCTCCTGCAATTTCAACAATATTTCAATTTATTGTTCAGCCCCAGTTTAAACTGTGTGAATATTATAATAAAATCTTACAAAATGCAACTTTACTTTTTGTATCAGTGCACTTGAGACTGACAGCAAATTTGTATAGCAGTTTCACACATTTTCACATCATTCTTCATGCAGCAAGCTGTTTTAAAACATATGCAACAAATACAGGGTGGCAGTTACATCTGTTATTGTTTCAAAAAGTACCTCTGCATCAGCCCAGTCCTTTTCACTCAACTGGAACAGGAAACAGCGACGGCCAGAAGTAGTCCAACCAGAAGGGCAGGTCCCAGAGCCAGGACCTACAAAATCATTTTTAACTTATCATCACATTTAAGAAGCTGGAAAAAGTGAGTGTCTGGCATTTTGCCTGAAACATTACTTCCATTTCCCAAAAAGTTGCCAGTTCATTTTCTTTCAATTGATGAATCAACTAATCGTCACTGCTTGATAATGCAATAATCAATTAATCTGGCTGGCATGGTTAAGGCTGTTTTAAAACTCCTCATACTTTTGCTGAGAAGGTGACCATTTCCACCCTTACCCTGTCTTCCCCAACCACACAGTGCCAGCTATGTATTTCGAGCATTCAGCTCCATTAATATAAGAAGCACCAACCTTTAAGACTTTGCGCCTGTGGATGTAAAAAAAAAAACAGCATTAGAAATGAACACAACAACTCAGAGTTTTCCTTTTTGTAGCTTTAGACTTTGAGACTACAATGGCAGCATTTGCTATTTTTGGTAAGATCGGATTTTATTGAAAGTGGGGTATTTTATAGTTTCCCTAGGATTTTGCGGGCCTACTTTGTGATTGTTGCGGCTTGAATAATAAGACACTCTCTCTCACCACAGGCGAATGGACACACCTGAGGAGGTGCAGGACCACAGCATACAGTTTGAAGTAATTAGAACAAATAGAGTTAGCTTGAATTTCTTTAAACTTGACTTTTAGGAAAATGTGACAGCCCTAATGTCTGTGAAGTACATAGGTGAAGTTTTCTTTGAAGTCTGCTTAAAGTTTCGGTGTGTAATATTTCTGGGCATCGCTGTTTTGGAGAGGGTCCATAATCACAGAGAGAATTAATGTGTTTCCCTTGTCAATAAACTTTATCTAATGTGTGGTTTATAATGGACTGTGGTGCAGAAATAGTGACAGTGTTTCACATTCTTGGCTTACATTTTCCATGTTATCGTCAGTGGCCAAGTCACAATATATAATAATAATTAAGTAAATATAATTTATTTATCTACCTAATTTCTTGACTGGCTATTCTTAACCCTACTTACATTTGCGCCAATCCACAGCCCACTGGTCAAACAGAGGAGCCCAATGAAATGAAGATCTGAGACCATCTGTGTAAAGACATTATAGAAGTTAATTCACAGTTCAGATGTATATACCTTTCTTATCTCTGCAGAGTTGAGAATTTATGAACAATTACACTTTTCTGATATGCAAATATTTGGGACAAGTTTTATGGGCACTGTAAGAACTACATGCTAAGTCTGGATAAGACTGGGTAAATGCAGGCTTATTTCTATATTTATCATTGTCATATATATCTAACATTAAATATAATCAAAAGTCTTTTTCAGTAAAGCTGGTGTTGTGGTAAGGCCAGAATTAAAACCTTACCGTGATGATCAGATGAAGTTGCAGTAGCAGGTAGCAGGATGTCTTGGAAAAGGGAAACGCAGTCGTTATATACTTTTCTGGGTACTTTGGTTGCACGTCATCTGGTAACAGGACACAGTCAAATTTTTTTAATTACTATTGTTTTGCTATTGCCACAGCCTTGAGTAAATGTTTAAACTTTCAGCCCAGACATATGATATATGTCTGGGCCACCTTATATTTTCCTGCTTCTCTCCCCACTGTTCTCCTGGAGTCTCATCACTACTGAGCCTTTCTATTACAAATAGTAGCACCGCACTTCTGTTTCCCAGCATTAAGTCAATTGTAAAATCTCAACTACATACACCATCTCACAAAAGCATCTTATCAAAAAACCTGATCTAGATCACTACGTTCTCTTTAACTTCAGGCCTATTTCCAAACTACATTTCTCCCGAAAGTTTTGGAGAGAATAGTCCCGAACCAACTACAAACATTCCTCGACAACCATGCGATCCAGAAGAAGTTCCAGTCTGGCTTTAAACCAAGCACCTTTTAAGGGTTTTAAATGATCTCCTTTTAATGGTGGATTCAGGGAACTCTGCTGTTCTGATGCTTCTAGACCTGACTGCCGCCTTTGACACTGTGGATCACACAATCCAATCCTTATCCTCGCATTAAACACTGTGTAGGTGTCAAAGGTATTGTCTTGAAATGGTTTCAGTCATACCTGACTGATAGGAGCTTCTCTGTTCATTTAGCTGAACACTCTTTGTCAGCTGCTCCTCTCACCTGCAGGGTCCCTCAAGGCTCTATTCTGGGCCCCATCCTTTTCTCATTGTATGTTGAAACTGGGATCCATTTTCCAGAAACATAACATCTCCTATCACTGTTTTGCTGATGATTTCCAAATCTGCTTGCCTATGAAATCCATAACAAAGGAGTCTGTGCAGCCACTGTTAGCCTGCTTAAAGGAGGTAAAAACCTGGATGGAGTTAAACTTTTTCACTCTGAATGAAAATAAAACAGAGATCATCACGTGTGAACGTTTAGACGTACTGGGTGACCCTCTTGGCACTTTGGGCCCCTTAGCCACCCAAAATCGATCCTCTATTAAAAATCTTGGTGTTATAGTCATCCATGCTTTTATTACTGTTCAGGTGGATTATTGTAATTCATTATACATGGGTCTACATCAGAAATCTTTGTTTCTTTTCCTCCAGTTAGTCCAAAACGCAGCTTCTCGCCTTTTAACAAAAACAAAAAAGAGTGAACACATAACGCCTGTCTTGGCCTCCCTCCACTGGCTACCTGTCCGTTATAGGATAGATTTTAAGATTTCAAGAAGACTTGTTTTTAAGGCCTTAAATGGTCTGGTGCCACCTTATCTGGCCGATCTCTTATGCCACCATTCATTTAAATCGCTGCTTAAGACGCATCTTTTTTGTAGTAGCTTTTGACCTTCATTAATCCAGGTTTCTGATGTTTTAAAGTGTTGTTGTTTTGTTTCCCTGTGATTCACTTTGGTTGTAGTAATTTTTACACTTGTTATTTATGTATTTGACATTGACCCTGTTCAGCACTTTGGTCAACTGTTGTTGTTTTTAAATGTGCTATAGAAATAAAATTGACATTGACATTGACATTAATAAAAGTGAGTACACCCCTCACATATTTGTAAATATTTGAATATATTTTTTCATGACATACTGTATCTGTGACATGGGTGTGGGTAAGGTGTTTGGACTTCACTGCTCCCTGGCATAGGTCATCCAACTCTCTGCTGCAGCTCTACTGGAGATGGAGGCAAATATTCCTTCATTTGGTGTTTTAATGATGGCAGTGGAGAGGGCTGTATATTATGCTGCTTCATAATCTCCCATTGGTGTGTAATTGGGTTGACTGTGAAGGCCATAAGATATGACTCTCATCACTGTCTTACTCAAACTGGACGGTTCAGAACATTTTCTCACTGGTTTCTCTTTGTGCAGACAGGATTAGTTTGTAGGTCCCATTTTCAGATATCTGTCTTTAGGGCTGGGAATCAACCTTCAATCGCTTTATGGTACCAAACAAGATGTTTCCATAGCACCAAGTATCAAAAACTGTCAAGTACCAAAGGCTGGAAATGTATATGTGCTCAATTGTTACTTTTTTATCATTTTAACTTATTTAAAACATTATTTGCCAATTTTAGACTTAATTTGGATTTTAGACATAGTTCTTCAACTGCTTATGTTTGGCCAATATTAACATTTGAGGGCCAGAGGTTTGGCCTCTGACTAGAACTTGCTCTAGCATTTTATGTACAGTAACATGTCACGTAACATGTTTATATACTGTGGTGCAAAACTGTAATGTTTTGTCCCCAAAAGGTGATGTTATCTAGAACTTTTTTGATGAAAGCTGAAGCTAAATGGTGATGGATTGATAAGGGATTCTAGATTTGGATTTTTTTTTTTTAAAGCTTTTCTGCACAGCTCCAGGAGAAAAAAAACTAAATGTCTGAATGTTGTTAGAAATAGAAAATATATAGGTAATGAACTGGCAACTGCTATGTACACCTAGCTAAAACTAATTTAGTCTAATACATCAGTCCTGCAATAAATCCTCCCTTCATGGAGGTTATACAATTCTGTTTTATTTTATTGATTTATTTCAGGTTTATTTAACAGGGAAAATGTACACTAATAATACATACATAAATGTATAATGTGCCAGAATTAGCCAAAAGGCTATTTTACATCTGCTGTCCATGGACAGATCGTTTTGTTGAAAACATGTTAAAGTTCAGTTCACTTCTGACCTTTGTGCGATACTGTTTTCATCTTAAGCTTCACACTGAGGTTTCCTTGTATTCTGGAAACATAATACAGAATACATAATACATAATTTATACTGTGTGGACAACTGGAACATATCACATGGCAGGTAAGTTGATAAGGACCTAGCAAACATTAAACCCTTTTCACAGCTGGCAAAGTACCAATGCTTGATTGGGTACTAGGAAAGGTGTATAGGCAACATTACTAGGTGTCTGTCTTATAAAAGGGGTCTGTGTCAAAATGTATTTGTAATACCTTATGTAACTCAGCTTAGTGTCTATATTTGTTAATGTTTTCTCTTGTATGAGCTTTGAGTTTTATGTTAATTTTCTTTAATTGAACAAAGATTAAACTGAAGTTCTTGTTTTGGAGCCAAGAAAGAATCATTGAAAGTCAGTGCTCAGCTTCAATCTGTAATGTTAAAAACCACAAACCAAGCCAGAAATCTTGGTGTAGTCGTGGACTCAGACCTGAATTTTAGCAGCCACATTAAGACATTTACAAAGTCAGCCTACTATCACCTGAAGAATATATCAAGGATTAAAGGACTTCTCAAGTCCTCACTAAGACTAAAAAGGTGGATCACATCAATCCAGTTCTGAGGTCTTTACACTGGCTTCCTGTATGTCAAAGAATTGATTTCAAAATCCTGCTGTTAGTTTATAAAGCGGTTTAGGGCTAAAATACATTTCTGATCTTCTGCTTCATTATGAACCATCTAGACCTCTCGGGTCGTCTGGGACAGGTCTGCTTTCCGTCCCCAGAGTCAAAAGTAAACAAGGAAAAGCAGCGTTCAGTTTTTATGCTCCATGTATCTGGAACAAACTCTCAGAAAACTCCAGGTCAGTTGAAACTGTCTGTTCTTTTAAATTAAGACTGAAGACTTTGCTTTTTACCACTGCCTTTAATTAAATCAAATGTAAGGCTGTAGATTAATATCGTACACTGCACTGTGACTTTTACTCGCCTGTTTTGCCCTAATTTATTTCTATTTAACTCTTTAAAATTTATTTGATCCTGTTTTTTATTTTCTATTCCACCCTTTTAAAAATTATATTTTAATGTGTTTTGAATTGACTTTGAAATGCCTTGTTGTTGAAATGTGCTATAGAAATAAACCAGCCTTGCCTTGATATAAATGTAAAGCACTGTACCCTGTCATCCTCACTGTGGACCAATTGTTAATTATTTCTAATGAACAATGCACAGAAAATTATGAATTATAACTGAGAAGTACTTATTTCACAAATGGGTAGTTATTATTTTTTCAAGTGTTTGTTTGCTAAAAGCAGGAGAATCTCTGTTTAACATCTCTTGTGACTCTTAAAATAAGTGATATTGAATATTACTTTTACAGCTTCTGTCTTCTGTCTCTGGTGTCTGTGGAGGAACATTGTTTTAAAAAATGCCTGTGTAACAGACTGCTGGGAATCAATCTGCTTCAACCTCCAGACTGTGGTTAGGAAGCAGAGTATCATATTCCTGTGTAGTCTAGTAACATATTTACTGTTCGCAGCAACCCACGTGAGGCACAAGAAACAAGAAGAGCAACATCAACTGTACAATCTCCTCTGACTGCCTGCTTTTCACCACACTAATCTTCAGGAGCCACATGCTCAAAAACTGATATGAGAGCCAGATTTACTGTATAGGTAAGGATATGGGGCCCATTGGCACAATTTTAGCAGAACGTTTTCAGGATGATGGCAGTACTGGAGGCATGATAAAAAAAACTCCAAGTTACAAAAGAATCTCAAGATACATGTGATGTTGTATGACATCACGCGGGAAAATATAAAGACTGTACAGTCGAAAAGACACTTGATCTCTTGAAAAGGTGACAGAATGTCTATGAAGCACATTGGTGACATTTCTTTACTCAATTCACACTGATTGGCTGGTAGTATGGTTAATTCTTCTCCCTTCACATGTCAATCTGAAAACCATATCTACCAATATCAAAACCTGATTCAAGTCCTTGATTAGAAATTGAGGATGATAAATATTATTACCTGACCTGCGGTGCAATTTGATCACATAAAAATTGGTGAAGCAGTGGGGAGGACCATCTTCATGCTTTACTACCACTTCATAGACTAAACTAGGATTTTTCCTTGTTTTACACGAAACACCCTCCAAATCTGTATGGGTCACTACTTCCTGTTTGCACTGGTAATTACTTATATCCAAAAACTCAAGGGTTTAATATCCATCCATCCATCCATCGTCAACCGCTTATCCTGCGTACAGGGTCGCGGGGGGGCTGGAGCCAATCCCAGCTGACGTCGGGCGCAAGGCGGGGTACACCCTGGACAGGTCGCCAGTAGGGTTTAATATAGCTGTTATAAATAAAACAAATGTATTAAAAACTCCACTTGCTTTTTCTCCAATCCACAGCCCACTGGTCAAACAGAGGAGCTCAATGAAATGAAGACCTGAGGCCATCTGTGTAAAGACATTAGAGAAGTTAATTCATTGTTCAGATGTATATAACTATCTTATCTGCGCCAAAAGTTGAGAATTTAAATTACACTATTCTGCAAAAATGAGGGACAAGTTTTGTAGAACTACGGCTCTGTGAGAACTACACCCTGAGTCAGGACTGGGTAAATGCATTCTTATTTCTACATTCATCACTGTCAAATGAATCTAACACTAAATACAATCAAGAGTCTTTTCTGTAAAGCTGGTGCTGTGGTGAAGAATTAAAACGTTACCTTGTTGTGATGATCAGATGAAGTTGCAGTAGCAGGTAGCAGGATGTCCTGGAAAAATGAACTCAGTCCTTATATATCTTTTCTGGGTGCTTTCATTCTTTAACTTGTCTTAACGTGTCATCCCCTGGTAACAGGACACAGTCTCTTTTTTGTAATGATTATTGTTTTGGCTATTGCCACAGCCTTGAGTAATATTAAAAGGTTCCTTAAACAGTGTTAAAGTAGTTTTTAGACACATGATATGGCAGCAAAAAAGGGGATTAATAAAGTTGTTGTTCTTCTGGTTGAAAGTAGAAGTAATGTTGCTGCGGAGGAGGACTTTAGGGGTACATCCCAGTTTGATTTGTTATATGATAACTCCCAGAACACCAGTTTTTTCAAAATTCGATGTAAAAAGACTAGCCCCCTTCCTGGGTGAACATGAACTCAAACTAATGTGCTCAAGATTAAAAGTGCGTACTGTATATTACGGAAGGCAGTATAATATCATACACTGAGTGAGATGTTTAAAGCAAAGTGTCCCCAGCGTTTAGTGTAATGTAAAATCTCAACTACATACAGTATCTGTGACAAAAGAAAAAACATGTGTCTGGGTTAGGTGCTGGGACTTCGCTGCTCACTTGCATAGATTCTCCAACTCTCTCCTGCAGATATACTGGAGATGAAGGCAAATATTCCCTCATTTGGTGTTTTAATGATGGCGGAGGAGAGGGCTGTAAATTATGCTGCTTTAAAATCTCCGATTGGTGTTTAATTGGGTTGACTGTAAAGGCGATAGGATATGACTCTCATCATTGTCTTACTCAAACTGCACGGTTTGATGCAATTTACCAGAAGGACAAACAAACAGAAGATTTTCTCACTGGTATCACTTCATGCAGACAGCGGCAGTTTTATATGTCCAATTTTCTTTAGGGCTGGGAATCAATGCAGTACCTTTTTGGTACCAAACATAATGTTTACATAGCACAGCATATCAAAAACTGAAAGCTAGAAAAGTATGAGTGCTCAGTTTGTACTGTTCTTTAGTTAATTAGTCCTTTTTAATCCCTTTACTCATGTTCAGCTGCTTGTGTTTGGACAATATTAACATTTGAAAAGTTTGGCCACTGACAAGAATTTACTGCAGCATTTGGAGTATGTACAGTAGCTTGTCAAAAATAAGGTGAACGGAGTAAAACAGACTACAGATGTTATTTCAATGTGTAAGACACATATTTAATCATCATTTTGTATACGATGGTACAAAACTGTATTGTTTGTCTTCTCGGTCCCCGAAAGGTGATGATAGATCTCAAACAAGTCTTTGAGGTTTGGTGAAGTTATCTTGAACTTTAATGCTGAATATTTAAGCTAAATGGTTAAATACTGAGAAAGGATTCCAAATCATAAAGAGCAGAGTTGATACTAGATTTGGATTTGATAAAATACTACTTTTCTGATCTTAAGCTTCACACTGAGGTTTCCTTGTATTCTGGAAACATAATACATGTAACTGTAGTTGTTGATGTGTAACTAGAATTTATACAGAGTACAACTGCAACATATCACATGCAAAGAAGTTAATAAGGACCAAGCAAACATTAAACCCTGTTCACCGATGGCAGAGTACCAATGCTGGATTGTGGACTGGGAAAGATGCATGGGCAACTTCCACCTGTACATTGTTGGGTTTCTTATTAATAAGCTCCTATCAGGTCAAAATGTATTTGTAATACCTTTTCTAACTCAGCTTAGTGTCTCTTGTATGAGCTTTGCGTTTTATGTTTGTGCTTGAAATACATGTAAATGTAAATCAAAATATCCTGTGTTTAAAAATGTGCTATATAAAAAGTTTTACTTACACCCACCCACTTTACAATACTATACTTGCCTCAACTCTGCACTAAAATCTTGTCTTTCAGGTCTGAGTTTTTTACAATGTACATATATTTGCTTTTACCAAACATTTGCATTTGTTCCCTCCTGTGATGCCTCTGAATTACCTCACATGAGATTCCCTTCGACAGCATTCAAACAGCCATTTGTTTGTGCATTTGTTAAGACTTTAAGTGCCCAGAACACTCACATTATCTTTCTGGTAGATATTTTTAATAAAAAGGTCTACATTTTGTTGTAGGGTTTATTATACAACATGAAAAACTAGACTAATGTGTTACAAAATGTGATCAATCAGCACTAGACGTGAAACAAACAGTGAGCACCCACGAAGATAGCATTGTTTTCCAAAGATGATAAATGGTACATTGGAGACAGTGTGAAAACAGTGAGTTAACACTTGGAGCTGACCCTTTGTCTGCTACGGTAACAACAAATGAAACATTTTCATCCTCACTGTGGACCTATCTGCTTCATCCGCCAGACTTTGGTTGGGGAGCAGAGTATCATATTCCTGTATTGTTCTGTATCATATTTACTGAAGACAAAGTTTGCACACAAGAAGAACAGGACATCATGACCGAACTGAAGCTCCATTACAATTTAGGAATACTGTCAACAGCCCTAGGTCTCACCTGTTGGGATCATGTGTTGTGTTGCATTACAACCAACACTGTGTCTCACTTGGAAAATTTTGTTTTTCCATCTTTGGTAAAAAAAATTCCTCAATGGGATTGAGGAATGGAGAATATGGAGGGAGATAAACAACTAAAAAGCGTGGGTGGGCAGTGAACCAGTTACGAACCAGAGCAGCCCTGTGGAAACTTACGTTGTCCCAAATGACAACGTACCTGAGCTGCTCTGGGCCGTCTACCTGATCTGGTGGAATGAGTGTGTTGTGTAGGGTGTCCAGGAATGTGATCAGATGGGCGGTGTTGTAGGGGCCAAGGGTAGCATGGTGATGGATGACGCAGTGGTGGGTAATCGCTGCACACATTGTGATGTTCCCTCCGCGCTGGCCAGGGACTTCAACAATGGCGCTCAGGCCGATGACATTCCTTCCCCTCGTTCGTCTTTTTGTGACCTCATCAATGAAGATGAACTGGTGCTCCACTGCAGCCACCTCTAGCTCAAGGACTCTCTGAAACACACATGACAATATCAGAAATAGACATGGAGTGGTCATTATTGTCAAGCTGCATAATGATTGTGCTTGAGTCAAGCACAATCATTATGATTACTATATATCTATCTATATATCTAGCTATCTATATCTAACGGTCCTTGACCGTCCTCGTCCTCCATTTCCAATGTTGGCATCCATTGCTCCATTGAGGAGCTCACCTGTTGCCCTTTTATGCTAAAGCTCTGATTGCTAATTGGAAAACTGTGTGACGGGTGTTTGCCCTTGTGATGAGTCAGTGTGCATATTTGAATGGCAGTGTGTTCCTTGTGAAAACAAGATATTTTCTGCATGAAACTTGTGCCAAAAGCAGAGAATTGTGTGTGTAGTTTAACAGAATTGGTTCAGGTGGTGGGTGAATGAGTTACATGTTGTGGTCATTGTATCTCAAGTACCAGAATTTGTGTGTAAACAATTGAGAAAAACTGTAATTGTGCCATCAGTTGTTGCCTTCTCACCAAGCTGCTTGCCTATTGTCCTGTACCTCATCCAGCCTTGTGCAGGTCTACAGTTTTATCCCTGATGGCCTTACACAGCTCTCTGGTCTTGGCCATTGTAAACATGTTAGAATCTGTTTGATTGAGTGTGTGGACAGGTGTCTTTTATACAGGTAACGAGTTCAAACAGGTGCAGTTAATACAGGTAATGAGTGGAGAACAGGAGGGCTTCTTAAAGAAGAACTAACAGTTCTATGAAACCTTTGGGGAGTAAAGATCCCAGATGTTACATCACATCTAGTGCATTCACTTGTTTTCTCCAGAGTATTTTGCATGCACAAATTTACATATGAAGGAGTTACATGCGCTGAATTCTTTTTATTTAATTATGACAAGGGAAATACCGTTTTCCATTCCACGGACCTTAACATTTTGACCCAATGTTTGTCCCAATCAAAACTGTTAAGTTTAGAATGTTTCACCAGATGGCGCCAAGTTTCCATGGTTTACCAATGTGAAAAATGAAGCTTATCTCTGTGGTTTCCACTAGTGGCGATGTTGCCTGTGGTTATGAAGCACTGTTATGGACCATGCAAATGCTAGTGTTGTGTGTGTGTGTGTGTGTGTGTGTGTGTGTGTGTGTGTGTTTAAAAACTACTGTTTAGGTGAGAGAAAAAGGTAATTGAGGACAGAGGTCAGATTTTAACTAATTTTAAAAATTAATCAATATTTGGAAGTTATGATCAGGGCTGATGTTGATTAAAAGCTGAATGGAAGTGAAAGTGGAAAAATTATTGTAATATATATTTTTGGAAGCTTTTTGAAATGGACATTCATAAAAGTAAATCACTGACAAATACTAGGCTGTGATAAAATAAAAATGTTATTTCTTTTGCCAGTTTTGCCAGTAGCACTGTGTAAACAAACTGCATGTAAAGGTTTAAAGTTCTGAAAATGATGATCAGGGCTTAGGTTGGTCAAAAGATTTAACTCAGTGAAAGTGGAACATAATATCAATGTATAATTAAAAAAATATTAATGAGGCTTAAGTAACTAAAGAAGAGTATGAAGCCAACACACATACATTTCTACCATTTTTTAATACTCTGTGCTATGTAAATATTTTGTCAGGTACCAAAAGAAGAATTGAAACTCTTGGGAGAAAATCAAAAGGGTTGGATGTGATGCACATTTCAGTGCTGAATTTGTTAACATGGGCGGTCAAAGGAG